GGGCAGAGCAGAGGTTACACATTAGCTGTGCTCACCCATTTAAAAAAGAAAACAGAACAACAGAGCCGCTGTGGCTAAGCAAGTGACCCCAGGATGGGGATGGAGATCAGCTCGCAGCGATCACCTGTGTGTTAAGCCCTCTTGCTGCTCGTTGTGCTTACATTGATGAGCAAGAAGAGCATTGCCTGCTGCTGAGCACCTGGATGGGCAGCAGAAATCCTGGGGTCTCTGCCCAGCTCTCCCACTGCAGAGTTTCTCATCTTGCTGGGGCCAAGGTCCCCCCACCCAACACTGGGTGCCCCTATTGCTGTTGCTTTCTGGTCCTGGAAGGAGGGGGATTCGTGCTACCAAGCTGCAGAGACACAGACCTTACCTGCTCACAGCAGGAGACTCCTTACTTACCCTGAACCCCTCATCTACTGAAGGGAGGCGAAGAGACGGTGGCACCTCCAGGATGGGATGCACAGCCCTGAAGTTAGACGCCTGCCTTAAATTCCATGTTACCCTATTGCTCTGTTGCTGTCCCTTAATTATAGCGGGAGAACAGCCTGTGTGTGGTACTTGTGAAGTTGCACAGTGCGGACGTCCTTCCTGAGATGCTCCCACTCTGAGCAACATTCCTTGTAAATTAAGGAAAATGATGTCATGCCAAAGAATTAAATAGCGTCTCCTTGGGTGAGCTCAGCGTGTGCGTCCCCTGCATGCCCAGCTTTGTGAAAATGGGAGTTGTCCCTACACACAAGCGGGTTCCTTGGCAGTCTGCTGGCATCCTTTCAGACAGCAAGTATTGTGAAGGAACTAATGCTAATTGCTCGGAGAGAGTATGTCCTGTGCTGGGAATTGCTACCGTGCAAATGTCAGCTCTTATCAGCCGCATGTGGGGTGTGCAGGGCCTGCAGGGACAAAAGGGGGGGCTGGCGATGCTCACGGAGGGGGTGAGGAAGAGGGAGGCATTGCTTCTGTCTCCATTAAGGATGCTAAGGAGTTAGGACCATTCCTTAAATAAACATACCTCAAGGTCTCAATCCCATTTAAGCTTCAGCTGCTTTTATGGTACTCTTTGCACTCACTTGCAAGAGCTGCTCGGTTTTACCTTAGGATAAAGAGCAGGGCTGTGTTATTTCTCAGGAGCTGGGTACCCTGCCCCCAGGCATCTCAGACTTCCAAGGGGTTCAAGCCAGCTCCTGCACTTTGTCAAAGCCAGTTCGAGTTTTCATGCCTGGCTTGGAGTGAATAAATATGAACCGATGACTTTTGGGAGAGTGGATGGAAGATTGTCGTGCCTGCTGCGAAGAAGCATTCTCATTTTGGAACTTTCATACTCTGACCAGGACTCTGAACTCAGCATCCTGGGATGTCCCAAGCAGTCACAGCCTGTTTATTCAATGCTTCATCCAGCACAAAAGCCATATTTTACTGTCAGATGCTCTCCATTAGCTTCAAGTGTGAAATTATCATTCCCACCCTTTTACCAGCCCCACCCTGGTGAGGAAATGAGGGGGAAAACAACCTCAAGGGCCGTTCACAGGATGTGTACGAGCTGTCACTTGTCAGCACAGAGCCCGCGTATGGCAGGAATTACTGCTCTGCTCTCAGGAGGGCTGGAGAGGAGCCCGACTTGCAGATGCCACAACATTATAATGTTTGCATTGGTGCATGGCAAGGCAACCCCAGAGATGTTTGCATCCTTTCGCAGTCAGTGGCCGCAGGGTGCAGCCCCGCAGGGCTCCCAGGGACGGTGTGGGGAGAGGACATGCAGCTCCGCAGGTGCTGCATGGGGACGCGGTGACCTGTCCCCTGGCTCCTGACCCTGCGTACTCTCCTGTTCTAAGCCTGAGATCGTCTAGCATCTCCTTGAAATGCCAAAACTGACTGATAGGGGCCTGGACCACATTTTTCTTTTCTCTTGTGAAGGCCGGTTCCCATAACAACGTGGCAGTGTGGGACCGAGGGATAAAGACATGATTTTCCTTTTCCTTCCTGCCCTGCAGATTTACCCTTTACGCGGTGGATACACGAGGGAGACACTCAGAGCTGAGCACGGTCACCCTGAGGACAGCCTGCCCGCTGGTAGACGACAGCAAGGCAGAAGGTCAGTGTTCAGGCACCTCATTTTCCACAACCGAAGACATTTCCTGCTAATTTTGCTTTTCCTCTACTCACTGAACTCCTGCAAGCCCCTCCAGTCCCTCCTCTCCCATTGGGAAGGCTCCTGTAAATTCACCCATGGGCACAGGGTCATTAATCTGGGGAGGGGTGACAAACGGCAAGAGCGTCCAGCAGCGAAGTCCCCTCGGCTGGGCAGCTGGTGGCTCCCGTGGTCCTGTGCCACGCAGCACCACAGCATCCTTCCCCGTGCATGGACCTGGGAGTCAATAATGTGTGTTTGACACATGTCCCCTGGAAAAAAGAGCAATATCTTCTTGCAAAAGTGAGAGAGGGAGCCCTTTCCGGGCCAGGGCAGTGAGCAGCGCGGGACACTGTTGGCTCTGGGTGTTCAAAAGGATGCTGGTGGCAGTTGGTTCAGTTCTGAAACAGAAACACCGGTAAAAGCTCAGCCACTTTTGCACATTTGCATTTTCCAGTTTTGAAACCAATCCCATTTGTTCTTATGCCCAGAGCGCTTGGCTTCTTTCAAATTTAAAAAGATTCCTCTAAGTGAAAGGCAGGTTACCTGCTTGCTTTCTTGCTTGCTTTCTGTTTTGAAAAGCACACAAAAGAAAGTTTTGATTAATGCTTTGTTCCATGTTATTGATAAGCATTCCCAGGAACAATGAACAAACGGGAGACTAAAGAAAAGGAATCAAGTGGTGTTTTGTGCATTTTTTTATCTCCAAAAAGAGATCCTTTTTCTACAGCAGAGTGTGCACCTTCTTGTTTAATAGATAGGCACAACCATGGTGTGCTGTATTTCTTGTTATCAACAGTGTTGCATTCTTACCCTTTAGCATCATAGCTGTGCAATTGCTTTGGGTTTGGTGAATTAGGGAAGAGCTTGCCTGCCCTACCTGGGAGGATAAGGCTGTGTCTGCCTGTGCTGGCAGCCCTCCTCCTCTCCTTCTCCCGTTCCTTCATGGAGTATTGCTGGAGTCTTTGGGGTTGCTCTGCTTGTGCAGGGCACTCCCTGCAGGATTAGCCTGAAGAATTGCTGAAAGGTCACTAAACCCTGCCTCAGGCAGCCCCAAAGGTCTGGCAGCCATCCCAGATGCCTGCCCCTCCTGCCAGCCCTGCCAAGGGCTTCCCTCCTCCTCCTGTGTTAGCACCTTCTGGCTGTTCATTAATCCCAGCCCCCCAAACCCGATCCTTTCCAGAGATAGCTGACAAAATCTACAACCTCTACAACGGCTACACCAGTGGGAAGGAGCAGCAGACAGCCTACAACACGCTGATGGAGGTCTCCGCTTCCATGCTCTTCCGCGTCCAGCACCACTACAACTCCCACTACGAGAAGTTTGGAGACTTCGTCTGGCGCAGTGAGGACGAGCTGGGGCCCAGGTACCTGTCCCTTCCCCACGTCCTCCCCTGCCCCACCACCTGGAGCATCCCCCTGCTTGGCCACTGTGGATGGTGACCCTGATTGCCTTCCCCTTGTAGCCAAAAGGAGTCCCCTTTTGGTGTTCACCAAGCTGTCCTGCCATCCCCTAGGACCACCAGGTCCCGCTCGGTCTTTGGATGAATGCTTATGGGACGCCGAGCAGCTGGGTGGTCTTTGGATGAATGTTTGTGGAACACCTACCAACCAGCCCGAACCAGGCGGGTGATACTGCAGATGAGTGGGAGGTGTTGGAAAAGCTGGGGGTGGGAGGGCAAAAGGTGCAAATTAGGCCTGGGTTAGAGTGTAAACTTGGACCGACTCAGATCCTCTTCAGTTGTAGAGCCATGGTAGATGAGAACATGGCTGCTTTAAGGTTCAAAGATGCCCTGATTGATTGCAGGCTGGAAAGGGTGACTGAGGGAATGAAGTAAAAATACAGCAGGTACATGTGTGCTGAGTGGTGTGTACCATGACAAGCATTAGGTACCAAGAGCTGCGATACAGAGACAGCTGTATACCGTGGAGGTATTTGAGGAATACAGGGCTCTTTTTGACTGCTTGATACCATCAGAGGGGTCAACAATTGAGCAATCTATATGCGGTAATCTTGGCTCTTCTAAATGATATGTTTCATTGACATTTCCTTCTATTTATTTCTCTGTCTATCTGACTTCACATATATTTATTCTCACGGTGGTGTATGGTTGCCATACAAACCATAAATATTTCCAAAATTCCCTTTTCCACCTTCCCTCCCTCCCAAAAGGATAATTCAGCTTGCTGATGTAAGCACTAGAAAAGTCCTCCTAAATTTTAGCCCTGTGGTGCCCCTGACACCACACAAGGATGCCAGCAAACGCACAGCCCCTCATCTGTTACCTGTATACAGCTTTATGCTAGAAATATTTTCTTTTTACTGTACATTTCATGCTCTGAGGAGGGCTGGGAGAGGATTGCTTCTGGGAGTATAAAGAGCAGCCTTTCCAGAGGGACTGCATCTGCAAAGCCTCAGTGTGCAGTGAAGGGAGAGGTAAGACCCTAAGAGATCACAGGTGCATGAACTGCATTGCATCCACGGGGCTGGCAGTGTCCTGGCAGTGTCCCGGCAGTGTCTCAGCAAAGGCCAGACTGCCACCCAGCCCCTTCAGAAACACTCAGCAAGAAATGCTCAGAAGTAACCATATCCCTGTGGACAACTTGAGGTCTCTTACAGGATTCAAGTAGCCTTGACCTGCTTTGAAACTTTTAGAGACATGGTTCATCCAGCATCCTTGTCCAGCATGTTGTTCTCCAAGAAGCTGGAGCAGAGGAAGATGGAGGAATGGGGTCCGGCAGTCCATGAATAACTGGACAAGATTTTCCTTCTCTCCCCCCTGCTCCTATCTGCTTGTTGGACGTGGCTGAGGATCTGTCCATAATACCAGGATGACAGCTCCTCACAACAGTTTACACCCCTCCTGGACATAAATCTGGACTTGCCCTCCTCCAGAGATGACCTTGGTCGTAGTTTCTTTGGTAGTTCATTAGCCGCTGGCACAGAGCCATTCTCATCCTTCCCACTGCCTTCCTCCTTCTTTGATGACACTGCAGCCCTGTTTGTCCTTTTCAGTTGTTTCTCTCTCTCTAAATCCCTGGGAACTGTCAGCCCCTTCTTACACATCCTTATTTCCTCTGTTACTTGAGATCCAACACACTTGTTGAGGGATGCTTTCTAACCTGATACCTGCATCATGCCATGAGCTTTGCAAGGTGACATTTAAATTGCCTGTATTGCCCCACTCTGTACCAAGCTACATCTGGAGTCAGTGGTCAATTCGGCTGCTGTCTGTCTTCCTCACCGAGCCAGATGAGCTCCTCACAGCACTGGTATGCCCCGGTTCTGTACTTGAGAAATATGTGACTTGCAGCCAAGGGGAAGCATCTATAAACACGGCAGCGACCGGTGCCAGGCTCTGGACAAGAGCGAAGCTCTGCCGTCCAGCCTTGCTTCGCAGGGAGCTTGGACAGAAGTGGAGGCACTGACGTAGCGGGAGGCGAGTGAGGATTTGCCAAGGGAGACCATCTCGTAACACGATTTTAATTGACAGACTGTTCCCCTTCCCAGGGGGACATTCATTTTCGTACCTTGAAATGTTTATCAGATGAGCCTCAGCTTCACAGTAAATGTTCGCTCATAAAACTGAGCGACAAGAGGGAAGTTGATTGCCTCCGTGTAATAAATACATCACACTGGAGTCCTCGTGAGCCCAGTTTCCATGAAAGCCACAGGTTACTGCAAACAGCTGCTTGTGAGAAGACATACTGACAGCCAGATGTCCCAACCAGACCGTTTACATTAAGGAGACATAAAAAACTTAGCTCATAGGTGGCCCTAAACCAGGACTTTCTGTGGTCAGCAGCATCTTGGCACCTGCCTTGCCTCATCTGCTAGTCTCCTTTAGCAACCACCACCCCTTTCCTGCTCCCCCTATTCCTCTTATAGACACCAAGCGAATCTCACAGTGTTAATTTGTTCCAACAAAACAGAAGAATCCGTCTAAAGCAGTGAAGGTTTAATGCTACTGTGCATTCAGACCTTGGGATCTGTGCAGCATGAGTGCTTCCCGACACAATGATGGGGAGATTTCTCTTACTGTGTTTTCAGGACAAATCTTATGACCACTGCCTGGCTTTTAGGAAGAGATGAGACAAATAATTAAGTTAAAATCTTCCTTCCATGCCCCTACTTGTGGCTACCAGCAACAACGAGGTCAGGATGTGGCATCAGCCCAGGGCTCACAGCCTCTCCTTTGCTCGAGCAAGTCGCCCAGGCAGACAGCCGGGACAGCCGCAGGAGATGAAGAGCATCTCCAGAGCAGCTGCCTTCTGGTACCGAGGGGGAATGCAATGTACTGATGGGAGGCTGTGATAAGAGGCCATCAAGTCCCGGACTCATTGTCCTCTGACACAAGGGTCTGACAGACCCAGGTCAGTTCTCAGTAGAGTGGAAAAATCTGAATTTATGACAAAATCACCCCATATGAGAACACAGCAGCCAGGCAGCCACCCTCTCCCTGCAGCAGTCCTGGGAATCCCATCCTTCCCTCCAGCCCAGGTATCATTTCTTCTTTACTTCTTCATGCTGGTTCATTCTCTTTTAGCACCTTCCTCCTAGGTGAGATAGGGCAAGGTTTTGCTGGCTCTGGATATATTTTTATCCCACCGCAGCCATCAAGGTGACTGATCGCTGTCCCCTGTGCAGCTGAGGGACGAATGTCCCTGTGGGAGCACCGCCGAGGCTGGGCAGAGCAGGAGGTAACATGTCTCCTGCTCTTGGGCATGTCCTTGCCGAGCTGGGGCTGGCGACCAAGGACCTCGATGCCCTGTTCCCTGTGCAATCACTGCACCGCACTCCCTTGCAGTGGGGTCACTGGTTCATCCACGAGCCCTTACAAAGTGCCCCGGCGACAAACACCCGTCCTCCTCCCCTTTCCTGTCCCCCCACCATGTCGCGAGGTACCGCAGAAGGAAGCAGCCGCGTAGAGCCATCACTATTTTTAAATCCCTCTCTTCATCATTTATGGCTGTGGCTGTGACCTCCTAAATCCATCACATGAGTGGAGACCAGAATCAGTCCCTGGCTGGCGCCGACTTAAAACAACGGCCCCTGCGGTGGGCACGTGGCAAGTGGGAGGGCACCGCTGGCTCACGCCGATGTGGAGGCACCCCCTGTTTGGGCTATGGGGTGAGGGGTAAGGGGGGGTTGCTTCATCCCTTTGGGAGCTGATAGCTCGGGGTCCGGCCACAGGCAGCCATGAGAGTGACTCCCCCCTCACTTGCTCCCCTGACATCGTCTCCCAATTCCTGCCCTTTAATAGGGCAATAAATTACCCTTTCTGGCAGGGATGAGGATGGTCAGCATTTAGGAAGATTTCATTTCCAGTATTTGAAAAGGTGGTCGTTCTGACCCGACAGCCCTCCGCAGGGAGCACTTGGGTAATACCCAGGGCTTGATTTATGGTGTTAAATTGGCAGCCCAAGAACTGCTCCTGTAATTTATTACCCAACCTTCACCAGAAAGCCTCCCTCTCTTTCTCACCCCTCCCCTCACCCGCTCTGTCTCTCTTTCTCCTTATTTTTTTTTAAGAGGGAACAGCTGACAGCCGAAAGCTAAATCTAACATTTACACATGACTTCATTACCCCACTAAAATAAATGACTCAAAGCGGTGAAACCCATCAAAAATGGGGCTTTGGAACCAAAAACGAGGGGCCTGATTCCTTCCCTCCCTCTCCATCACCCTGTCTCCTCCTTGACCACAGTGCAGCGTGTTTTCAGCATCCTCATAGAGCCAACCCATCGTGTGCTGCATCCCACCCTTAGACATGGATACTTTCCTGGGGCCGACTGCATCAAGCACAACTGCAGATGTAGCAGGTGTGTGGAGACCAGCTCCACGAGGACCACAGCACACGAGATATCAGCAGGTCTGGATGGGTTGACTCCTGGATTTGTTGCCATCTTGAGCTGCTCTTCACACATAGGAATGTTTGCCTGAATAGAAGACCTGAGTATGTATCAGGAAGCAAGGACAACATGGTGATTTTTAGCAAAACCCAGAAGATCATGGAAGTATGTTGGAGCAAGTAGTGAAAATGGGAAGGTAGAGAAGGCCAAGGGAAATGGAAGTGAAGGAATGAGTGTGTTGTGGAGGGGAGAAGTGAGAAGTAGGTGAAGCAAGCTATGGAGGGAAGGAGAAAGGTGAAGTGGTGGTAAGGGAGGAGAGGAAGAGAAGAGCTTGGCCAGCAGGCATGTGCAGAGGAGTCCAGCCCTTGTCTAGGTTAGGGCCAAGTCGTGGTTACCCACCTCTGGGGTTTGCCTTGAGGACTGGTCATGGCCACCTTTTGTCACCCCTCTTGCTATGGCTGGGAAAGGCCTTGTAGCGAGCTGGAGTGGGAACCAATCTGAGGGAAACTCCGTGGGTTGCTTGGTTGGCCTTTGGATGGACAAAATTCCCCCTGGACACCTGTGCTAGCACAAGCAAATGGGCAGGGACAGGCTGGGGAAGGGGCAATACCTGCTTTTGGCAGTAGAGATGATTTATGGTAAAAAAGAGTGACCATGGAGCTATGGCCTTAGAGAGCTGATAGTTACCCTTTTTGAGGAGGGTATTCTGGCTAAATACTCTCTTCCCGAGCACTGTCAGTTCACATGAAAGTCCATCTTGTGAACTGACCGTGGTCCCTGGGCTTGCTCAGCCTTCCCTGAAAAAAAAAAAAAGGAGAATCAAGGCAGTTGTTAAGAAACAATTTCTCAGCGTTGGGATGGGTGAGCACTGGAAGGGTTGCCAACTCTTGACTCTAAGAACAGGTTAGACAGATATTCATCAGGGCAGGTTGATCCCAGCAAGGAAATGGCACAGATGATGCCTTTTGGTCCCTTCCAGCACCAGTGACTGTGATTTGCTGAAGTTTGTTAACTGCAGTGACAGTCGCTAGAGACTTTGATTTGCTGCTGAGCTTAGCTTTAATTAGTCCATCTTTACTGAAAGCATCTAATGCCATCGTAGAATTTCCTAACTTCTTAGCGGCAGGCATCCAGCAGTGAAGGACTTGTTCTTGGCAATGTGTCGGGTCCTGACATGCAGTGGGAGGTCCAGACGCTGTAGAAGGTCAGGTAGCTGCTATGGAGAGTACCATGAGTGGAGGTATTCTGTCAGAGCTGGGTGCAGCTCAGCCCATGACATCATTATTATACGTGTGTGTGTGGAGCTAATAAGGCTCAAATTGCCTAGTCAGACTTGTCTTTATAGATTAAATCGATACATGGATACCATGTCGCGTTGTCCAAGAAGGGCCAGCTCCATTTGCTCTTCCGTTTCCCTGGAAAGCCGGCCCTCAGCCCATCACCCCTGGGGAGGAGCGGGGAAGTTTTCCATCCGCAGCCCTGGAGTGATTTTCTACAGCCTTTCTATCCAGCCTTCCCGCTCCGCAGGGAGAGGTCTGTGCCCAGTTGGGGATGCCGGGATGCCCTCTTGCCTCCTGCCGCCGTCTGTGCCCTCTGCTCTGGCGCTGGGGTGACTTTGGGCAGCCCTTCCCCAGGGTCCCATCCCCGGGTGCCTGCGGGTGTGCGGCTGCATCGGGCTCCCGGCGCTCCCCCCTTCCCGGCTGGGAGCTCACAGCCCAAGCTGGAACACCACTCGGCTTTCATAATCAAATAATCCCCATGTTTATGCCTCACTGACTGACAGCGCTGCCCCTGACATATCATTATCGGGAATTTACATTCCTGCAGGAGCAGTGAAATCCCCTAGCCCCGAATCCAGAGCTTTCCTGTGGCACCAGAGGGAGAGGAAATAATCTGTGATCTTGAGACTTTCAGACCACTGAAGTAAACCCTCTTCCCCTCCCTTTGTTTGATTTAGCACTTTGCAGACTCCCACGAGGGGATTCTTGGTTTCTTACGGGTTTATTTTGTTTTGTCTTAATGTGTTGTGCTTTCCACCCCCCCCTCCTCGTTCTTCTAGTGTCAGCCCTTTTGGGCCATTTGCCTCCTGGAGACTTAGGAAAACAGGAAAGGGAGGGCTGGGCTCATCACTTGGGAGCAGTAAGGTGCTGGGGGTCTCACCAGGGTGCAAATGCACTGGAGCCTGGCAGGAGCACAGGGTGGTGGTGGTGATGGTCTAGTCTGGGGCAGACAGTGTCCCCAGGGCACCCAACCTGCTCTAGTGGGTCAGACCTGAGGTCACAGAGTCATAGAATCATTTGGGCTGGAAGGGACCTTCAGAGGTCATCTCGTACAGCCCCCCTGCGGTGAGCAGGGACATCTCCAACCAGATAAGGTTGCTCAGAGCCCCATCCAGCCTGACCTTGAATGCCTCCAGGGATGGGGCTTCCACCACCTCTCTGGGCAACCTGTGCCAGTGCTTCACCACCCTCATTGTAAAAATTTTTTTCTTTATGTCTAGTCTAAATCTACCCTCATTTAGTTTAAAACCATTACCGCTGTCAAGGTCCCTTGAAGCCCTGTTGACCTGGTGCTGTGAAATCGTAGATACACTTTTGGGCAAAACAGAGCTTCTCTCCACTTGAAACAGGAAAAGCAATGTCTTAGGCAGTGGGTCTCATCCGTTCACAAGACGGAGCTGGTGGTGGAACCCAGAAGTCTTGGTTTCTGGTCTCCTCTTTGCATTGCTTGCCCTGCTCTGTCTCTATCCCTGTTTGTCCTCTCCAGGAAAGCACACCTGATCCTGAGGAGGCTGGAGAAGGTCAGCAATCACTGCTCGACCCTGCTACGCAGTGCCTACATCCAGAGCCGCACCGAGACCATGCCCTACTTGTTCTGCCGCAGCGAAGAAGTCCGGCCGCCCGGCATGGTCTGGTACAGCATCCTAAAGGACACCAAAGTAACGTGCGAGGAGAAGATGGTCTCCATGCTGCGCAACACGTACGGGGAGTCCAAGGGGCGGTGAGGGAAGGTGCGGGCCTGGAGCTGTGGGAGGCAAAGGGACTCCGAGGAGTCGAGGACTTGTGATGTGCTGAGTGGCTGGTGGAGTTCGGGGTCGGGTGGTCTTCGGAGGGGGTGGAAGGGGACAGCGAGGCCAAACAGGACTTTCTCACGCAGACGGCAGAGAGACAAGAAATCAGCAAGTTGGACTTTAATTTCTTTTCCTTTTTTTTTAATTTTTCAAGAGGAAAAAAAAAAAAGAAATTACCTAATTTGACTCAGCATAAAAGCCTCTCCTTTTTAATCTTTTCTTACTGAATTTCCTGGACTACATGCTCCAAAACCCTGGGAGGAGGAGATACCTGCTGGAGGCCAGGGCCAGGCAGAGGGGAGCTGCTGGGCACAGGGTGACCCCCTCCCTGCCTGCCCTGCCTGCCCTGCCGCCAGGTGGGAGCTTGGGGCAAGGAGCCCTGGTGCCGTGGTGGCCGAGGAAG